TAAAATAGCAGCTAATACACAATATTCTGTACATTATGTGTATAAACAAAGATGATAGTCCATTCTGAACACACTGACAATGATTTAAGATAAATAATTAATTATAATAAATATTTCAACAAATAAATGTATACACTTCAATAAACTCTTTATAGATCTTTTACGGCACAGAGAGATTAAGCAGCCCTGCATGCGCCTTTGCTTTTAGACATAATATCTTCTGCTTTCCATTTGTGAAAAACTTTGGCAGCTATTCAAGGTTGTGTTTCTTCTGAAAGGCTAAATCTACAGGCAAACAGCCTCATCTGAAATTGTCAAATCAGTATTCACCTCCACATTTATTCAGAGACAGATTAAACAGCCCTCAGTCTATTTATTATTATGAGTAAATTATTACAGATGTGAGTTATCTTTAACTTACTTAAAGAACAGTTTCTTTTCCTCTGATGTTAATGAAATTCTGCGTGTAGTTCTTATCACTGTAATTTTTAGACAACACGAAATTAAAACTGATCATATTACATTCTTAATACATGTTTCTGATCTTTTTACTGCACGAAAATTGCACTTTATATTAGGGAACAGTATTCACTTTTAACTAGTTGCTTATTAGCATATTACTAGCATTTTGTCTGTTTATTAGTACTTATAAAGCACATATTAATGCCTTATTCTGCGTGACCGTATTCTGGATCCCTTAACCCTACACATACCTAAACTTAACAACCTTATTAACTATTAATAAGCAGCAAATTAGGAGTTTATTGAGGGAAAACTCTTAATGAATTAATAGTCAATATGTGTTCCCTAATCGAAAGTGTTAGCAAAATAAATAATGTAATAACTATATTTTTTATAAACTTTGCTGTCACTGAAGTCACAAACCGGCTTACTTGAATATATTCCATATTACGAATGTGAACAGCATTTCAATTTGACTTCAGAAGTGAAATGTGTGAAGGGGTTCAGGTTTAGCTGGTCTATGGTCTGGTTTGCCCCTGCTGGAAGCTAAATGAACTACACCTTATGTGGACAAAAAGTATTTCCACTGGTGTGAGACAGAAATGAGCTGACTTAAGAAAGGAGCTAATACTCAGAACCGACTTGGGTCATATGCCCTGGTGTTCAGTGTGAAATGCATCATGGGGATTTATCTTTGCTTTGGCACGTCAAAATGTTTCTTCTCTGCTCTTAGGGCATATTACTCTCAACCTAATGTGGCTTGGCAGCCTTCTTGCTTAGATTATTACTAAATAAATCAGAACTCTTGGTCAGGGCGGGCAGGCCTGAGGCGGCACTCAGAACCGACTTGGGTCATATGCCCTGGTGTTCAGTGTGAAATGCATCATGGGGATTTATCTTTGCTTTGGCGCGTCAAAATGTTTCTTCTCTGCTCTTAGGCATATTACTCTCAACCTAATGTGGCTTGGCAGCCTTCTTGCTTAGATTATTACAAAATAAATCAGAACTCTTGGTCAGGGCGGGCAGGCCTGAGGCGGCAAAAACAGTTCACACTTGTTTAACATGGTTTAGATGTTTTGTTGCTGGTTCAAGATGCCCTACCAGCTCTTAACCAACATGGTCTACAAGCAAGAAACCAGGACCACTAGCAGATAGTCCAAAGTTTCTCCATCTAGACCAGCTTGGACCAGCTAGAAGCCAGCAGGGCTGGTTATTTTGACTTGTTTGCTGATAATCACATGAGGAGGAACATGACTAAAGCCCACAAGCTCAAACCAGATCCAAAGCATATGGATCCCAGCAGAACCCACACAAACAGACTTGTGTTTGTCTCTTGGCCACTAAGACGAGGCTGATGTCAGAACGGTTTGTTTACATTTAGTCAGCTAACAATGAACAGTTTTTTTGCAGTCAGACCTTGTGATGGAGTAAAAATACCCATTGAATATTTGAGTACTTGTCAAACCCAGACAACATCAGTCAATAAGGCAACATGAATGATTAGTTGCTTTAGGTATCATAAACATTTTACAGCATTTATTGAAGTTAATTTATAAATATACTATTATTCATTGCTCGTTCATGATGTATTAATTAATACTAACACAGAAGAAACGGGAAAACACAGATTATCCGATTTACTCAACCACATTATTTGTGATCTATACAATATTATTATTTTGATTTGTATATTATTGTATAATATTATTATATTAACTTGATTTCTTGGTTTTCGATTAATGTAATTCTCTATATGCGATCTGCTAGATTAAATTATGCAGAGTGAACCAATCAAGTACTAAGGAAAACTTGAAATCGCATCTTATGACCCCTTTAAAAAGAACTTTATTCCATGATGCTAAAAATTGCATGATCAAATTATGTTTGTTCAACTTCATTGATTCACATGGAACTGATGTATCTGAATAAATCACGCACATTAAACATTGTAAAAAATTTTTTTCGAAGTTAGAAACAAAACTACAGTTTTACAAGAAATACTATTTCAGTCTTTCTATTTCAAAACTTCACATTTAATTCAATGTGTTGCTTCTTTGTAATTATCTGTAATATTCAATAGAATTTCTGAGAGAAAATTGTTTCAAAGGAAATCCTACACCAAATTTTTTTCAGTGACCTTTATATATAGGGTATATGCATAAGAAACCTATGCATGCAAGTTTGCTCTTTGTAAGATGTATGACAGAGTTTAATACACAAATTCTGAATAAAATCCACAAAATGTAAATGCCTGTGAAGATCGGTTGCTAAGTGCTGGGGTCTTTCTATGCAGTGCTGTAGACCCTTTTAGAGCCTTGAGGTCATGTCATCCTCGCTTCGGCCGATTTAAACAATCACTTCCTGTCTCATACAGGTGTTGTTCAGATATAATAGAGTTCATGCCATCTTCATTTTCTCTACTAACTTGCCGACTCATTGGCCCAGCAGTGAATAACCACTTCTCTGAACCGAGAGCTCTCAAAATCAATCCTTTGCCCCATGCCATCCCTCGAGGCCCTCAGCCAGCTTTTCACAGCACTGAGAGACAGCACTGATCACCATCATCAACATAATTAGCCTTCATATCAAACACAGATCATAAGAGAGCAATTATTGTGGCTGCCATTTCAAAATGAGCTTCACAGGTTTGATTTGGAGAGGGGAGAGTTTCAGACTCCGATTTCTCTAATTGAACCCCAACTGACTGTCAAGACTTATTCAGAGTTTAGCCAAGTTAAGCTTATGGATGAAATAGATAAAGCATTGCAAAATGTATCAAAAGAACAATTAAAGAAATAAAAAACTTTCATCTAAAATAATTAAAATTTTGTAATTATTTGCTCCTGTTGTGCAAACCCTGTGTAACTTTCTTTCTTCTGCAGAACACACAACACTAGTTAATGTTTTTGTGAGTGAATTATTCACATCAGTTTTATAAACGGAATCAGCTCATGTCCATTTTGACCATGAGGAATGCACTGTCACTTTAATTCAGTGAAAAAATAAATAAAATAAAAAGACTGCACCAAAATAGTGGCAACACTGCTGCTTCTGTTCTGCTACACACTCCTCACATTTCCTAACATGGGCTGCTTACACTCTGTGAAATGGGAATAAGTCAAGCAAAATGCTAAATCCTTTTAAGGGAATATTCCAGTTTTATTACAAGTTACGTTCAACTACTTTTGTGGCATAATTAAAATGATTTTGACTTATCTCTAGTTTTCGTACACAAAAAAGAAGAAAAAAAAAGTTAAGATTAGACACTTACAATGGACGTTTTCTGAAGATTTAAACAAAAACTAAAAAAGATATATGAAGCTCAATTTATAAATGCACCCACATTCATTACTCTGTTAAAATTTATTGTATGTATTATTTGAGCTGTAAACACAGTCACTTTTTACTACTTTTATAGTTGTTACGTTTTCTTGGCAACAAAGCCGTAAAATTGTAAAACTGTATTTCACACAGAAATGCATGAAAATGGTACAAACAATATTGCTTACTTTTATTACAACTGAAAACATGCTATCAACACAGTGAGAATTTTAATTTTTACAGACTGGCCCTATTCACCTATACACTGTAAGTGCATCACTGAAACCCAGATTATTGGCCTTTTTTTAAGAAAATGACAATTCAATGTTAAAGTTTGTTGTAATCAATATTGTGACAAAAAAGCTGCCAATTAAGCTAAACATGCATTGAACTCACATTAATCTCCTGTTCTGTTATTTTGACAAATCAATCCCTATATCCGAATGTCTCTCCTAGGCCAAAAACAGCATGTGAATTAAGTAGTATGTCCAAAAATTACAGTATTGATAAAACAGTAGATGAGAAGTAGCCAGATGACCTACTACTGTACATCCGGTGAGATTCTGAAGCACAGACGGACACTTCACTATCCTTTACTTTAGGATCTACTCGGACAGTATGTGATTTTGAATGCAGTTAATGTTATGGGATTTGGGAGATCTGATCTGACTCTTAAGACTCTATTGTCTTGATCTGATAGAAGAAGACAAAGTATTGGTCAATTTATGTGTAAGGTGTTTTTGGATAAACCGATATACTCGAAATACGGTGAAAACGGTCTCATTTAAAAACGAATGCTGCAATAAATTCAGTATTTTCTCTGACCTATTTGTGCAGTCTGATTCTACAACTGACAAGTTTGGGTCTGGCTCTTGTGTCACCATGACTCTTGGAAATTGCTCAGGTGGAAACTAATGTGAACTTTATGAGAGGTGACAAAGAGACAAAATCACTTTCTCGTCCAAAGATGAAGCTCTGAAAATATTTCTTTCATTAGCGACCTCAACAGATCTTCCACCTCTGGAGACAGAACCAGCTTTATAAGTGGCTTATAAGGTTTGACGTCTATTATGACAGTTTTTTTTCTCATAACAGTGAGAAGGATCTTTCTCTTTGGAGGAAACACAGAGTGAGTTTGGCTGTGCTCTAAGAGGGAGGTTAACACACACCGACAGCAGTGTAAGACAGTCTGCAGTCTGAGTTTGAGTAAGACTCACCGATGAAGCCCAGCTGGGAGAATTCGAGAATCATCCACTCCTCTGACGGCTGCTGCAGGGCGAAATTCTTCATTGTGGTGAAGTAATTTGGCCGTGCTACAATGTCATCCTCTAGCTGTGTGAGAGAGAGAGAGAGAGACAGAGAGACAATGCTGAAGGAGACTAGCAGCTGTAAAGTGGATCTGAATCATTTGCATTCGCCAACAAGTTCAATTCTTTTTCTGGGTAACTAAGGCTAAATGATTTAAAGGTGTGTCATCTTCCAGAAGTTAATATACTTTCTTTGATCCCATCTTAATGCAGAGACGACTGTAAGTAAACTCTTCGATGATTGACTTCCTGAAGAGTATAAAGGCCTGCTCAGAAAAACACAGAGAGACAATGCTGAAGGAGACTAGCAGCTGTAAAGTGGACCTGAATCATTTGCATTCGCCAACAAGTTCAATTCTTTTTCTGGGTAACTAAGGCTAAATGATTTAAAGGTGTGTCATCTTCCAGAAGTTAATATACTTTCTTTGATCCCATCTTAATGCAGAGACGACTGTAAGTAAACTCTTCGATGATTGACTTCCTGAAGAGTATAAAGGCCTGCTCAGAAAAACACAAACGTTCGTATGATAATTCGGTCCAACTTTCACAAGCGATTTCTCTGTTCAACAAAAATCCGCGGTCACACTAGACTTTGAGCATGCAAAATTTCTCAGACGTTGCAATGGTCATCATATGACGTCACGCTCTGTAGCGTCTTTTTAAAAACTTAAATTCAACACATAACAAAGAATAATAAATCTAAAATGTGAAAACATACAATCTTGAAGCGCTGCAGGCTTAAATGGATGTTCTTTGAATTTAGCTACGAGGTCATGCCGTGACGTATGGATCTTCTGTTGGTCACACATCTTCACATGATATGAATTCACAGGTCAGAGTTCACCAAGCTTGAACTCTTTCCACTCTCCTGCATTCGCATGTGTATGAATGGAAGTCAATGGAGGGAAAAGTGTAGTGTGACCGGCCCTTAATGCGAAAAGAGAAGAAAGCAAACCAAACTGTTTCAAATGTCGTTCAGATTTTTTCACAGTCGTGCAGGCTAATTCCAGAATCTCCTTCTGCTATTCACTGTAAAAGCAGTCTGTTCTTGAGTGCCACCAAGTCAAAGTTTTAAGTAACAACATTTCTGAACATGAAAAAAAGTACCACTCTTATTGTTTTTTTTGTCTGCAGTGCAATGGAAACAAAGATTGGAACAGCTCACATTGACGCCATTAAATAAAACTATTTTGTTACCTGATATAAAATAAATGTTAACTAAAATAAAATAAAATGTAAAAAACTTCATCTCTTTTATTTCAGTCTGAATAGATGCAATAAAATAAAACAGCCTTTCATTCAAATTAAAATTAAAATGTTTATCACAGAAATTTTGCACAGAACAAGTAAAATGTATTTCTATAGTGCTTTTCACAATACACGTTAATTTAAAGAGGTGAACAGTGATGCTTTCAGATTGGATAAACCTGGAAACCTCATTTTCTTTCTTTCATTGTCATTTTCTTTCTATTCCTTCTGGTGTCGTGAGTTTTGTGGAAAGTAAACACTGTTTAAATCTCACGCACTGTGCTTTTTATGGCTGTCACTTTTTGAAAGACTGGTGGAGCACATTTTCTTTTCTTTAAACACCCATGTTGAGTGAGCTTAATGCATGTGATGGGAGAACTAAGCAAAAAAAACAAACTCAAGGTGGAATTAGCATTTAGCTCTTTTCTATGAAAAGCAGCAGTCATACACATCACAGTCTAAAGTGAATGCATGATAGTGAAAAAAGGGAAAAGACGTAGTCATATGTTAGTTGTATCTACACGCCAACAAAAAACTGATCATAAAAGAACATGCAACAAAAGAAGTGCTAAAGTGGCCTTTAACATCAGCTTATCTTTTATTTTCATCTGAAAGCCATTTTCCAAAGTTCTCATAAAAAAAGACAAGTCAGGGTTTATTTTGACCAACTGACAGCACATTATCACTTGCATCAATGCATGCAAAAACATTGTGGAACCAGCTGAGTTCATAGACCCATTCACTCAAACCCAGTTGTGTCCAGTTCTAATCTGCAGTTTGGCCATTATCTTCATTTAATCTTACCTGTATGTAATAGGTCCCTTTAGTCTGGGCATACATCATCAGGAAGCAGTAATCCAGGTTCTGCTTTGTTCGCCATCTGCAAAAACAATCAGCATGTGCTTTAAAAAGAATAATATACAGCCACACATACACAAACCAACAGGTTGAAGGTAGAAACAGAGACCTGCTGTTTACAGATAAGAGGACAGTGAGTGATGGATTATTGGTTGCAGCTGCTGTTTATCCAGCGTTCACAGTGTATATGGATGTTCTTTTAAAGAACCAAGCTCAAAAAGTGAAAAACCGGAAAAACAAATCCTTTCAATTAAAATATTGCACATCATGACATATCACACCAGGCTTGATGTCAATTGTCTTTGTTTCTTGCACGTCTCATCACTGATGTCAAACATACTGTGATGAGTCTTGATGTGTGACATGGGAGCTGAATGAAATTTTGAGAGGTGCAACGCAAGAGAACATTCAAGCCATTGGTAGGGACAATGAAGAACAAAAAAAGGCATTTCCCAAACAGTGGGCATTTTTAAGCCACTTTACCTGATTTTTTAAATTGGAGTTGGCAGTTCCCAAGTGCAAGACAGGTTATTATACGAAATCACCAGTAGCTTAATGTGCTAGAATGTGACTTGTGGTTTATGGAAATTCCCAGGTTGATATCTATATCAAAAATGAGATAACTATAGCAACACTAAATGAATGCGTTTTTGTATGAATCTGGTGTTTTGATCATTTAGATCAAATCGGTTGAATGAATGATGATTCACTTATGAAGACAGTGATGCCACCTACATGCATTTTTTTATAAGTAAAAGTATAATTATAAATAATATAAATAATAGTCATAGCTACGCTGTATAAAGTGCACAAAGTCGAAGGTTTATGAAGTATTTAATCTAACACACAGGCTAGCATAAACGCAGACGTTAATGTTGACGAGACCAGACAAACTAGGACTGAATACACAGTAGTTTAAATACACAGACCAAACAAGGATAATTAACTACACACACCTGAACAGAATGACACAATTAACTCAATGAAGGGGAACGGTGCAAGAGGAAAACAAAGTCCAAACTGAATGACATGTGACAATATAATTGTAACTGCAGTGTAAAAGCAAAGAAAATATTTACATTTAAATTAAATTTTGTCCAAAAGTGAATGTCACTCAAGATGACTCATTCTACATGAGACGATACATGACATGAAAAAGCCTCATTGATTTTTTTTCCTCCTATACCACGTGTTTCCGGGTTCTGTAAAAGAAAGATCGGTTTGATCCATACTGTATAGTCTAGAGTCCAGACTTATGTTTTTCAGCCACTTTATACTATGTATCCAGCGAATATTACCTGCTGACTACAGCTAGGGTTTCTGGCATTATTTGAAGTGCAAAATAAATTACACAACAGATTTTTTTTGGGGGTAATTAATCAAATCTGTTAGATATTTTCCCTATTGTCTTCATAAGCATGAATGAGTAACTATGGGACTTGATAAGATGGCTGAAAAAACGTCCATCCAGTTTTAAAAACGCACACTGAACTGGGAAACACCCATTCAGTTCAGCAGAGACCCACAGCAGATTTAGTCAGGCAGTTCAAACAAACAGAGTAAATGCTTGAAAGTACCACAGAGACACAGTGCAACTCTTGTTAGGCAACGAAACTATGAATAGCCTACTTTGCCAATGTATATTATACTAGGATAGGAAAAAGTATTTTAAAAAATGACACGCTTGACATAAGAACTATATATAACTGTTTACAGCCTAGATGTTCTTAGTGAGAGTATGTGTAGTGTAGTAACTGGATTTTAGCAGCACTGACCACATCAAACAGATGCAGTTGAATGATAAACGCACAAGCCTCTCTCTGTTTCACACAAACTTACACACATACAAATTCAGTGTTTTGATAAGCTGCCCTACTTTCTGTGATACCCTTCAGGAAGGAAATTATCTGTTAGAGACATCATATGCACTCATGCACGCACGCACGCACACACGCACGCACACACCTTTTCAACAATACACACACACACACACACACACAGAAAACTACTGCCATTTTTTGAATTTCAAAAAAACAGTTTAATATGTTTTTAAAGCTATTCTGTTCTCTAGGACACAGAGAGTGTCCACATAAAACATAAAACATGTTTATGTTGTAGTACCCATGTCATTTTACACATTTGTGTCCTCATAAACCATATACTGTATACCAGAACACACACACACACACACACACAGATGGTAATATTGTGATAAGAACATTAACCCTCTGGCATCTTTTGGACAAAAACTTTTTCTGTGTCTCTGCACTTCTCCAGCATGGAAGTGTGCTAAAGGAAGTACCCCATCAGAGTATAAGAAAGACCAACATTCAGTTCCAGCTTTGATGCATTTGAAAACAAAGCTCTTGTTTACTGCAAAGATGCAAACCCAACAGGGGTGAAAAGGCGACAAAGATTTGGCATACCCCCGGGAAGGAAATTTGTGAAATATCAGCTTTAAAATGTGGATATACAGTAGCATGATGATATAGGGAAAAACTCACCATTATTATTATTATTATTAATACATTTTCTTTATTTAATTGAATTGTAAATAAATAAATAAACAAACAATAAAGAAATATATTAGTAAAGTAAAAAGATACCATTGCACAGTAAAATAAACATGAGTATTTAATAATAATAATTTTATTTTACTGAACAAAATTACAATACTAATATTCATGTCTGTCTTCATTTCCTCATGTTCAAATGTTAAGAAAACGTAAAGCTTCTCTTTTGCTGACAACTGATTTACAAATGACTGATTTGATGATTTGAACAATAATAAAAAGCACAACTTCTAACTTTAGACATTTAACTTTTAAATCTTAGAGGTTAAACAATTTATATAGAGAAAGAAAGAAAGAAAGGAGACAGACAGACAGACAGAGATAGACAGACAGAGACAGACAGACAGACAGACAGACAGACA